GTTGTGTGTATGCAACTCTCCATTTATTCAATATATCTATGATATTATATTTTAAATCAGTGTTATTCGGTCAATAATGAAGTTTTATCGGCAACAATGAACCTGTAGGTAGCTACAACAATCGTAATTTTATCTGCAACAATGAACTTGTAGATAGCTACAACAATGTAATTTTATCTTCAACAATCGTAATTTTAATTAGCAACAATGGACCTGTAGATCGCTACAACAATTAAAATTTTATCTGCAACAATCAAATTTTATCGGCAACAATGAACCTGTAGGTAGCTACAACAATTAAATTTTATCTTCAACAATCGTAATTTTAATTGGCAACAATGAACCTGTAGATCGCTACAACAATGCTAACTTTATCTGCAACAATGGAATTTTAATTGGCAACAATGAACCTGTAGGTAGCTACAACAATTAAAATTTATCTGCAACAATCGTAATTTTAATTGGAAACAATGAACCTGTAGATCGCTACAACAATGCTGACTTTATCTGCAACAATGGAATTTTAATTGGCAACAATGAACCTGTAGGTAGCTATAACAATAAAATTTTATCTTCAACAATCGTAATTTTAATTGGCAACAATGAACCTGTAGATCGCTACAACAATGCTGACTTTATCTGCAACAATGGAATTTTAATTGGCAACAATGAACCTGTAGGTAGCTACAACAATTAAATTTTATCTTCAACAATCGTAATTTTAATTGGCAACAATGAACCTGTAGATCGCTACAACAATGCTGACTTTATCTGCAACAATGGAATTTTAATTGGCAACAATGAACCTGTAGGTAGCTACAACAATTAAATTTTATCTGCAACAATCGTAATTTTAATTGGAAACAATGAACCTGTAGAACGCTACAACAATGCTGACTTTATCTGCAACAATGGAATTTTAATTGGCAACAATGAACCTGTAGGTAGCTACAACAATTAAATTTTATTTTCAACAATCGTAATTTTAATTGGCAACAATGAACCTGTAGATCGCTACAACAATGCTGACTTTATCTGCAACAATGGAATTTTAATTGGCAACAATGAACCTGTAGGTAGCTATAACAATAAATTTTATCTTCAACAATCGTAATTTTAATTGGCAACAATGAACCTGTAGATCGCTACAACAATGCTGACTTTATCTGCAACAATGGAATTTTAATTGGCAACAATGAACCTGTAGGTAGCTATAACAATAAAATTTTATCTTCAACAATCGTAATTTTAATTGGCAACAATGAACCTGTAGATCGCTACAACAATGCTGACTTTATCTGCAACAATGGAATTTTAATTGGCAACAATGAACCTGTAGGTAGCTACAACAATTAAATTTTATCTGCAACAATCGTAATTTTAATTGGAAACAATGAACCTGTAGATCGCTACAACAATGCTGACTTTATCTGCAACAATGGAATTTTAATTGGCAACAATGAACCTGTAGGTAGCTACAACAATTAAATTTTATCTTCAACAATCGTAATTTTAATTGGCAACAATGAACCTGTAGATCGCTACAACAATGCTGACTTTATCTGCAACAATGGAATTTTAATTGGCAACAATGAACCTGTAGGTAGCTATAACAATGAAAATTTTATCTTCAACAATCGACATTTTAACGGCAACAATGAACCTGTAGGTAGCTACAACAATGCTAACTTTATCTGCAACAATCAAATTTTAACGGCAACAATGAAACTTTATCTACACCAATCATCTTTTTTTCCCCAGGAATCTTGGTTAAGCAAATAAAAATGATACAAGTTTTTGAATTTATTTTGAGAGGAGTGAGAAAAATAGAGATACAAGTATGTATTCTATCTATATCTTATTCTTGTATATTTATAACCGAGGTTCCTGGAGCGCCAACTACTCGGGCTATTGAGAAAAACAAATTTACATACAAGTATTACAAGAGAAGGAAGACAACATCTTGAAGAAGGAATCAAAGTTTACGGCGACGTGTTTCTCTTATTAATGTGGTATAATCTTGGCAAGCTTTCGGGCTATGACCTCCTTCAACATATATATTATATGAAAATTATAAACTATTATAGACGCGTATGATTCTTTTTAAAAATAAAACAATTTCTACTGTCCTTACTGTAATATGGAAAAATTAATAATAGTTTCGAATTTTCATAACAGATGGCGCGCTAATGCATCATAATATATATATATATACAGTTAAACCTGTCTATAGCGCCCCCTCTTGGGACTCACCAAAATAGGGTGCTATAGACAGGTCACTTTTAATGTAAATTGCATCGTACTACGTATTTAAAATCGGGCGCTATTTAGAGGGGGAGCTATAGACAGGTCACTTTTAATGTAAACCGCATCGTACTACGTATTTAAAATCGGGCGCTATAGAGAGGAAGGCGCTATTTAGAGGGGGAGCTATAGACAGGTCACTTTTAATGTAAATCGCATCGTACTACGTATTTAAAATCGGGCGCTATAGAGAGGAAGGCGCTATTTAGAGGGGGCGCTATAGACAGGTCACTTTTAATGTAAATCGCATCGTACTACGTATTTAAAATCGGGCGCTATAGAGAGGAAGGCGCTATTTAGAGGGGGCGCTATAGACAGGTCACTTTTAATGTAAATCGCATCGTACTACGTATTTAAAATCGGGCGCTATAGAGAAGAAGGCGCTATTTAGAGGGGGCGCTATAGACAGGTCACTTTTAATGTAAATCGCATCGTACTACGTATTTAAAATCGGGCGCTATAGAGAGGAAGGCGCTATTTAGAGGGGGCGCTATAGACAGGTCACTTTTAATGTAAATCGCATCGTACTACGTATTTAAAATCGGGCGCTATAGAGAGGAAGGCGCTATTTAGAGGGGGTGCAATAGACAGGTCACTTTTAATGTAAATCGCATCGTACTACGTATTTAAAATCGGGCGCTATAGAGAGGAAGGCGCTATTTAGAGGGGGTGCAATAGACAGGTCACTTTTAATGTAAATCGCATCGTACTACGTATTTAAAATCGGGCGCTATAGAGAGGAAGGCGCTATTTAGAGGGGGCGCTATAGACAGGTCACTTTTAATGTAAATCGCATCGTACTACGTATTTAAAATCGGACGCTATAGAGAGGAAGGCGCTATTTAGAGGGGGTGCAATAGACAGGTCACTTTTAATGTAAATCGCATCGTACTACGTATTTAAAATCGGGCGCTATAGAGAGGAAGGCGCTATTTAGAGGGGGTGCAATAGACAGGTCACTTTTAATGTAAATCGCATCGTACTACGTATTTAAAATCGGGCGCTATAGAGAGGAAGGCGCTATTTAGAGGGGGTGCAATAGACAGGTCACTTTTAATGTAAATCGCATCGTACTACGTATTTAATATCGGGCGCTATAGAGAGGAAGGCGCTATTTAGAGGGGGCGCTATAGACAGGTCACTTTTAATGTAAATCGCATCGTACTACGTATTTAAAATCGGGCGCTATAGAGAGGAAGGCGCTATTTAGAGGGGGTGCAATAGACAGGTCACTTTTAATGTAAATCGCATCGTACTACGTATTTAAAATCGGGCGCTATAGAGAGGAAGGCGCTATTTAGAGGGGGTGCAATAGACAGGTCACTTTTAATGTAAATCGCATCGTACTACGTATTTAAAATCGGGCGCTATAGAGAGGAAGGCGCTATTTAGAGGGGGCGCTATAGACAGGTCACTTTTAATGTAAATCGCATCGTACTACGTATTTAAAATCGGGCGCTATAGAGAGGAAGGCGCTATTTAGAGGGGGCGCTATAGACAGGTCACTTTTAATGTAAATCGCATCGTACTACGTATTTAAAATCGGGCGCTATAGAGAGGAAGGCGCTATTTAGAGGGGGCGCTATAGACAGGTTTAACTGTATATATAAATATTATATAGTTATAGGATTTTCGTTCACGTGTTTTAAAATATGGTTATAACGTTTAACACAGATTTACTCAAACTTTTGTCTCATTTTTGGAACACGTGATAAGCCTTTATCACCCGTGTCAGAAATCAACCACAAAAAAAAAGTTATAAAAGAAGCAACATATCTTAATTTTTGAAGCGCCCCAAATATATGACCTCATAAACGTTAAAGAAAGAGGGGCAAGGTCGTGAAAAAAATTCCAACGCGTGTCCTCGATCTAGGCCCCCCTATCAGATTACTGAAATATTGGAGCACAAGACGGCCTTCGCTCACTGATAAATCGCTTGAAGTCAATAAATATCCTTTTAAACTCACGTTTTAAACTAGTTCGTTTGGCTTCGTTTTTAATTTAAGAGAATTTTGACCCCTGATTTAATAATATTGGCTTTTTACAAGGATTAATTTTTAATACAATATAATACGGCTTATGATTGTAAAACGACGTTTGACAAGTTTTAACCGCAAATGTTTCTTTTGAACGAAAAATCGTAATTTTATTTTAAGGAGAAATAACGGATTTTTTCGTTTAAAAGAAACATTTGCGCTAAAGCTTGTCAAACGTCATTTTACAAGCATTAATTTTATCTCTCTTATACTGATTACTTTAACATTTTTAGATGAAATTTGGATATTAAAAATTTAAACTAATTATGACGCGTAAAAATATTCTTTTAAATAAGACTTTTTTTTTTTTAATGAATCATATGTGTGCCATAAATAGTTCAAATTTCCAATAACAGATGGCGCGCTTATGCATCACGAGAGAATGATTTGGATATAAATATAATATCATTTTTGACCATTTTTCGCAGAGATTCATCATAATCGTAATGAAAAATTCATATTAAGAAAAATATAGCATGTCTCAATTTTAATCGGTTCCAAAATCACTTTATTAGGTACCGCTCAAAAATAGCAACCTAGTTTATGATAATTGCAACAATGAATTAAACAAAAGGTTAACGCGGGATTAAATCCCGGTTCATGACTTTCGGGAATCGAGGGTGTTACCCACTCGTCCACCGACTTTTTATAAAAAAAAAGTGGCCCATGGGGGGGGGGGGGGATCGACCTCCGCGTTATTAGCACGACGCTCTAACCAACTGAGCTAATGGGCCTTCAAAAAAGTGTCCAATACGGGAATCGAACCCGGGTTGTAGCGGTCTAAAACCAACGGATCAGACCATCCTTCCACTGACCTATTTTCAATTTTAATAAGAATTTTTATTTTTCATTCACGTTTTTTTACTTTATGATAATGATCTTTTGGTAGTGTAGCCTCTATAATATATGGTAAAAAAGAAAATTTGTCCGACCATACCTCCCTGTGGTCCCCCCCTGGAACTTTGGAATATTTGACCAAATTCTGGTCTAAGGTGACTAACGTGGCAACGGCACCCTTTTTACAATGGAAGAGCAAAACCGATGGACACGACAACAAGCCCCTCCTTATCTGTGGGATGTGGTTAGACAACAAGGGAAAGCTGAAGAGAGATGGACTGTGGAACACCTTTTTGTGGCTCAGAAGGGCGGATATCTTCGGTTACCGAAGAGGTGTTGATGCTCCACATATCTGTTGATGACATGGGACAACCTTGGCTTGCCTTGTTTCCTGAGTTCTGGTTGGTTATCTGACCGCGTGATACCATTGGCCCTCGTTCTACCATTGGCTGGGTTGGAAATATGCTGTGGTAACTAAAAATCCCTAGAATAACAGAGAAACGATTCTTTTTCATTATATCGATAAGACACGAGAGATTTTTTTCAAATCTCAAAGAAATGGAATTATTTTGACTTACATTCTCTATATTTGATCAAATCATATACATCTCATATATATATTTGTCCTTAAATACCCATTTCTTGGTTTCTCAAGAAACCACTGGGATCAAAAATATTTTTGGTCGCAGTGGTACAGCCTACTCCACGTTGACGAGCGTCAACAGCGCGAAACGCGTTCGTGGATGGCTTTTCTTGATTTATCAAGAAATTGGGTTGGCCAAATATGAGGGAACAGACTAAATCAATGAATAGTTGATTTCTGTTCCACCAGATGGCGCTCTGCCTTCTGAAAAGCACATGTGCTCCTGGTCAGGATATGCCTTTTTTATTTTTAATATATATATTTATGATTTAGTATCAAAGGATTGCGGATTTCGACAAAATACAAAAAAAAAAAAACATAAAACGCCGCAACTCTATTGCGTTCATTTTTTTACTCCTGTAGAAGGGTGGTATAACGCCCGAAAGCTCGAGATTGCAATAAAAAAAAAAAACTCAAACCTGATGCCTTATTTAACTTTTTATTATAATCTCTAAGGATATTATTCGGATAAATATGGTATTGTGGTTGGATTAAAAGATTCAGTATTATATAATAATAAAGAAAGGTGAATACGTAAGAACGCCCTTGCAACCTCAGAACAATTTTTAACGCCAAATGCTTTATTTTTATTTACTTCTCCTGACGAAGACAAAATATTTTTTGTCGAAACGTTGAGAAAATAAAAAACTCTAACTGGCCGAAGTGTCTATTTTACATATAAAAAGTATTATATAAGTTTGGGCGTACTTGTATTCCGTAACATGACATAGTATACGCTGTAATCTTTATCTTTTCTGTGGCACGGGGCTTTAACAATTCTCCCTGGCAACATGATCAAATAATCTCCATTATGGCTAAAAAAATATATTTTGTCTTCACCGTTAATTTATCTCTAACTGGTAAAATAGAAATTAGGTTTTTAATATTAAAATATCTATTATTTTAGTTATAAACAGTCTCTGATGCACACCGGCACATGCCAATAACAATTTTTTTTTAATTTTTTAGAAAGATCATTGCCCAAGCAGGAATTCGCTCTAAAGAGAGCTTGCAAAAATATAAAATAAAATATTTTTTTAATCTGAGAATTCTATTTTACATTTTAAAATAGTAAAATAAATTAATTTTTTCGCTTATATATAGGGGGCGAGCCGAAAGTTTTGAAATATTTAAAGATAACGTTTTTTTTAACAGCAGCTTCAGTTGATTATTTTAACTGCTACTCTAGCTTCCAATCCCTCATTCTGAAACACGAGAAGTATTTGATCAAATTTTGCCCTTCTTCCGTTATTGTTTTCTTTTTATATTATCTTTAGTTAAACTTTTTAAAATATTGATGAGGGCCAACAGCCTGAAACGCCTACGTGTGGTTAGCTTTTCTTGATTAATCAAGCGAGGGTGTATTTAGTAAAATTAGAGAATAAGTTTTAAAAATCAACGATTAGTTGATATTTATTCCGATAGATGGCGCAAAATATACAACAATCACTTGTACCTCTTTGATGTATTGCACCTGTTAGAAAGACGTCTTCTCTTGACCAGAAAAAGAGCTTGTACAAAGGCTTATAGATGAAAGAAAATCGTCTCTCCTGTCTTGTGATTTATCTTGTATGAATCTAAGGATTCCTATGGACTCACCCTCGGGATTGGCACTGTCCAGTTCCATCACCACGGCGTCCACTATGGGCACCATCATGGCGGTAGCTGCCGTGTTAGTCACCCACATGGAGAAGAACATGGTCACCAGGAGGAACCCCAACATCAGCCTGTACATGTTCCGTTAGCGTGTGTAGGATCAATTCCAATGTTTTACACAGTTTTTTTTTACATAAATATCCATATATCAAACCTCTTTCTTTATTGTCTTTTTACATATACACCTATCCCCCGATTTACACGGTAGATACGTTACTGAGAAAAACGTGTAAACCGAAAATTAAAATTTTTTAAAAATTAAAAATACAGACACAGTGTGCGTGTGCAGCAAGTCAGCACATAAGCTCGGGATTCCTCGTGAGATGTGTACACAGCGCATGTGTTCAATCACAGTAGCATTTAGTATAGTGCGATAAAAAAAAAACTTATTTGGAAAACCGTGTAAAAGCGAAAACGTGTAAAACAAGTACCGTGTAAATCGGGGGATAGGTGTATAATAGATCACTCTGTAACAAGTTATTATGAAAAATCCGAAAAACTGGAAAATACATCTTTCAAAGAAGCCTGCAACTACAAATGTAAAAAAATAAAACAACGGAAACTCTTACGACCTAGATAGATGCTTCATAAACTCATTCAAAATGATAAATGGAAGAGAAAAGAAAAAAACTAAAAATAGAACAGGCCAGAAAAAAAAACAGCTTAAAAAAACGAGCGAAAATTTTTACCAGGAACAGAAAAATCCAAGATAAAAAAAGTTAATTATATTTTTGTAAATGTGACAAATGCATGTATATAAATCTTGCTTTCAAGACCACGTACAATACTAACCATGTAAATATGTAAATACACTTTATATATGTAAACAACCTGTACATATTATCCATTGTAAATAACATAAACTAGGTTGTACTTTTTAAGTGGTACCTAATAGAGTTATTTATTGTACCTGCTTAATTGTACAGCCCTTGATGAAGAAAGGAAGGCCCTGTATCAACAAATTAAATGTACCAACATTTCACCCTACGTATTGCTTTCAAAAATATCAGCAAACAAATCTAAGGCAATAGCTTACTATAATTTTTTAGATCATCATTATGTAAGGACCAGTCAACAAGTGAATGACTTTGAGACGAAGAGTAAAGCCAGTTCAATTTCTATGTAAATAACACAATTATTACCTTACCCAATTGGGAGAATCTGTATGGGGCAAGTCCTTAATAAAGGCTTTGTGTGAGTGTGTGTGTTATTTTGGAACTTGAACAAATCTTGACTATAAATATTATGATATATAGGAAATGAAAGCAATAAAGCACCAATGTTTATTTTATACATAAAACAAACTTCTACTGTCCTGCGATAAAAATATATTGGGAGGGTTTACCACTGATGAGCCAAGCCCTCCCAATATTTTTTCATCACAGTAATGACAGTATAAGTTGTTTGTTCTATGTGTAAAAGAAACATTCATGCTTTATTGATCTCATTTCCTATATATATAGATGGGGTGTTATTGTTTATTATTTATGATCTAGGATTTGCTCTTTTTGAGCGGTAGTTAATAAAGTCCATTTGGATCAACACTACAAGCTTTTCTTCCATACAAATTCAGCAATGGCTTGACAACCTTTAGAAACGATTGATACATAGATGTTTGTATTTTATAAGTTAATTTTATATATCCGGTTCTCTACACAGTTCCAAATAACTTTACACCTATTCCCCGATTTACACGGTAGATACGTTCCTGAGAAAAACGTGTAAATCGAGGGATAGGTGTATATTAAACTGTCAAATCTGAATAGGTGTTCGCCCCCTAATGAATCAGAGCCTCCCAAATATTCTTTTCAACATAGGTAGTATAGAGTAGAATATCGCATTTTAGTATAGTGCGATAAAAAAAAACTTATTTGGAAAACCGTGTAAAAGCGAAAACGTGTAAAACAAGTACCGTGTAAATCGGGGGATAGGTGTATTGGGTGCCGTTAAAAAAAAAACAACCCAGTTCATCATAATTATCATAATGACAAATGAGGGTAATTATATATATACTAGCCGAATGACCCGGGCAACGCCCGTGTTTTACCCGAATGAATGTTTTGATTCAAATACTATTTGTTACAATTATAAATTGTGGTCATGTGGCCTAGTGGTCATGGTATCTGCCCGGTAAGCGGAAGGTCGTGGGTTCGATTCCCATCCCTTGACACTTTTTTTATTTTATCCATTCTGACCAAAATCTATCCGTGAACTTCACACAGACAGAATAAGGCAATTATATAAGTATATTTACTTGAAGGTTTTTTTTTTCAGATTGTTCGAATCAATATGTAGCTTATGTAAATAAGATGACCAAACAGTAGTTGCATATATCTTCCACATCGAAGTCGAATATCTTGTTTTATGAGAATTATTTTTAATAAAGATTATTCTCTTGTTTTTACACTTTGGAAAAATGAATAAGGAATCTAGGGCCAAGTTTCTTATTACAATTTTTTACTTTTCTAGCTTTCGGGCTAACTTCTAGGTCTCCGTGTTGAAGGGCATCTTAGCCCGAAAGGTCGTGAAATAAAAAATTGTAAAAAGAAACCTTGATTCCTTATTGATTTTGTCGAAGAATTATTTTTGTTAACGAGA